GCAATTAATATTTTTAGACAAACTAGGATATTGCAATTTCATGCTATTGAGTATATCATTATTATCTTTTGTATCCGATTCTGGATTGTTAATTATTATATCTGTGAAATAGCTTTTCATATTTTAGCTAACTTTTTTTTGGATAATTTTTCGGTTAGTTTTTTTTTTCTTAATAGGAGATATTCCAATTTCGTTTCAAGTTATATTGACTGTATCTATTGATGTTGATGCTGTGTTGATATTTACATATTCGCTATCAGAATTTATATTTTCAATATTTTTTTGTGGTAACCGTTTACGAATCACAAATATAGTGTTCCGCCTCAATGTTTGGATATTGAGTCATCCAGACTCAAGCCGATCATGGAGCCGCATGAGCCGACTCACTTAGTCGGCCCGTGTAGTCGGCTCGTGTAGTCAGCTCGCTTAGTCGGCTCTTGTAGTCTCATGACTTTACGCAGGTTCTTTTTGTAATTAAAGTGTTTAGTTCTTTAAAAGGATACGCATTTATATTTATACATTATAAATAATTTTATGAAAAAAAATTTAATATTAAAATATTTGTAAAATAAAAATTTAATTAATATTAATATTCGGGCAGGTGCATGAAATATTGCTTGTATCTTTCAACAAAATTATTATATTTTCTTGTAAGAGAGATCTTTATAATATTTTTTCATGATAGTAATGCTGGTAAATCTTTTTATTTATGTTTAAAAATGAAAAAAAAGTTTGAAAAAATAATAATATTAACTAAACACGTTATTTTATAAAGGAGCGCAATCTATTTTTGAAAAAAATATTTATATATTGCTTTTTTAAATCGTAATAACTAAAAAATCAACGGCTGTCCCAAGTTTAAATTTTCTTTATGAATAGATATAAAGTTAGAGAATAAGAAAATATTAAATTCAAAAAAATTTGGAAAGCGAAACATCTGGTTCGTGTTTAAAATTTATAACGTAAATAAAAACCGCAACAATATTGTTTCAAAAAAATCCTTAATATTTAATAAAAGGCCTTTAATAGTTACAAAATGACATATAATATTAATTTTTAGTATCGTTATTTTTTTAACTTATCTCAATTTTAAAAAATCGCATTTTTCACTTTTGACCATTGATATCTCAGGAACTATGAGTACTAGGAGGCTAAAATTTTGGATTCGATGCTTTCTAATGATATTCTCTCAGCATGCAAAATTTTATCTAAAAAAAGGTCGGGTCGAAAAGTTATCAATGTGGTATGAAATTACCCGATTGCAACGAGTGTCCTGGCTCGGCACTCTTAAAAGAACGCATCGAAAAATTATTTATAAAAAATGATATAGCTCTTGTTACGTTTAAACAGTGGGTTTCGGCAGATAGAACAACTCTGGAGACTATTTCTCAATCTTCAGAAGAATTTATTAATTTTTTTTTCGATAAAATGAATATTCTCATACATTCATTTATTTGTGAACAACAAAGTTCATTTCACAATAACCTTAAAAATAGTTTTAAAAAAAATCACTATCTAATTATTTGTGACTTTTCAGAAAATTATTCCTTTATTGTCCAAGAGTCAGGGTTATCATTGGACAACTTCGCAAGTTACGTTGCATCCATTCTCAATTTATTATAAATAGGAGATCAAATAAACAATCTAAGTTTTGTGGTAATATCGGAATCCTTTAATCATAATACTGTTTCATTCCATTTATTCCAATCGCATTTGATTCATTTTTTAAAAAATAAATATGACACTCCACCAGAAAAAATTCATTACTTTTTTGATGGTTGAGCAGCGCAATATAAAAATGAAAAACTTTATCAATGTTTGCTACCATGAAATAGATTTTGGTGTTCAAGCAGAATGGCATTTTATTCCTACGGCACATGGTAAAAGTGCCTGTGACGGCATAGGCGGCACAGTAAAAAGGTTAGTTGCCAAGGCAAGCTTACAAAGACCTTATACTGATCAAATAATTACACCTTTACAATTTTATAAATATGCGGAAGAGCATATAAAAGGTATAAATTTATCTTACGCCACTATACCAGATTAAGAGGAAGAAGAGATAAGGCTAAGTGAGAGATTTAGTAAATTTATCTCAATACCCGTGACACAAAAAATTCATGCAGTGTTTACGATTGGCTTAACTAAACTCAACACTAAATTATATTCTAATTCGCAGACATTTATTGTGGAGAATATAGTAAATCCACGTGAAGATCCTTTGATTGAGATCTGTTAATCGATGAGATTAGAGGATATGTAACATGTGCATATGAAAACGATTGGTGGTTAGGATTTTTACAAGAAGTTAATGTAATTAGGGATGAAGTAAAAATTAATTTTCTTCACCCTAAAGGACCATCAAATTCTTTTGTTTACAGCTGCACAAGATATCCTTTTCATATCAAAAAATAATATTTTAACAATAGTTAGCCAATCAACGGCTACTGAGCGTACATATAATTTATCGCAAAACGAAATTATGGCGTCAAAAAAACTAAATTTAATGAAAAACCGAAAATAGGTAATATTTTTAATGAATTTTAATTTATCTATTATATCTTCAAAATTTATAAAATAATATTTCGAAAATTAAAATTTTTTATAAAAAAAAATGAATATAACAGCAGCTAAATAATCTCATTTCATGATATTAATGCTGGAAAATCTTATTATTTATGTTTAAAAATGAAAAAAGGTTTAAAAAAATAATAATTATAAACAAAACACGTTATTTTATAAAGGAGCGCCATCAATTTTTGAAAAAAATATTTATTTTTGGATTTTTTAAATCGTAATAACTAAAAAAACCCATGGTTGTCCCAAGTTTGAATTTTTTTATGAATAGATATAAGGTTAGAGAATAAGAAAACATTAAATTCAAAAAAATTTGGAAAGCAAAACACCTGGAATAATTATGTTTAAAATTTATAACGTAAATAAAAACCACAACAATATTATTTCAAAAAAATCCTTAATATTTAATAAAAGGTCTTTAATAGAGTTACAAATTGACATATAACTTATATTTTTTAAATCATTATTTTTTAGCTTATCTCAACTCAATTTCCAAAAATCGTATTTTTCGAAAAAAGGTCATTTTTGTCACTTTTGACCATTGATATCTCAGAAACTATGATTACTAGGAGGCTAAAATTTTATGCAAAATTTTATCGAAATTAAAAGGGTCGGGCCAAAAAGTTATCGATTTGGTAAGGACCCCGACCTAGGATATGGTCTTAATAGTTATTATAAAAAATAAAATTTATAGTTATAAAATTTTACATTGTAGTTTTAAATATTATTATATATGCAACCATTACCTTAGAATTTAATTATTTAAAATGAATACAATTAAGTTAGGTATTTTTTATTGTCAATACAAATTTCCAAATTATATTTTGCAGTGCTCTATTTTTGACTTGCTAAATTGCTCTTATATGGCCTAAGACCTAATGTTGTTAAGGTAACTAGCTACCTTTATATTTTTTACAATTCTTTTTTTTAAATTATTACAATCATTACAGCAAATATAATCTACCAATATTTTGTTGCAAATCAATTATCACAATATCTAATTTGCTCATTTTGTTAAATTGAGTTATCAAATAATTAACTTTTATCTATTTAAGGTTCAAAATATCAAGAAATTGAATTCACAAACTTTCGAAACATTCAATGTAAATTAATAAGCAATTTTAAATATAAAACATGTCCAACATAATTCTATAAACTTTTATAAATTTCAAAAAATTAAACATATTATTTGATTTTTGATAAAAGATTAGTAATTAATTACTTTTAAAAATATTTTATTTTGAAATATAATGACAAAATTAATTAGTTATTTTTCTAAATTTAGGGCGTGAGTAAAATACACCACCCCCTGAATCTACGCGCCCCCTATCGAAGAAGCTTAATTTAAATTTTATTGATACATAATTGTATTTAGCTTTATAAGATGATTTAGAAAATGTTTTTATGATTTTTAAAAAAATAGTAACATAGTAATAAAAGCAGGCACATATTTTAGTCAAAAAAAAAGAAGTGTTTTTCAATAGCTCACTAAGTTATAAAAAATTTATACACTTAATATTAACATTTACTAAATCCTTTTAATAAGCTTAATAAGATTATGCTTTTATTTTTTTAAAAATAATGTATATTCATCATAGAAGGTGCTTAGGGGTTTGTAGTTTACAAAAAAAAATGTATTTTCTCAAAAGCCCACTAAGTTTTAAAAAGTTTTATCATATAATATTAACATTTTTGATTCCTTTTAATAAGCTATATATGATTCTGTATTCATTTTTTATAAATTAAGTTCTTTTATAGGGGTCATGTATTTTAGTCATATAAAAAAATTATTTTTTAAAAATTTTTACTATTTTACCATTTTTTTTAAATAAAAAAACATTTTGTAAATCATCTTATAAAGTTAAATATGATTCTATATTAATATAATTTAAATTAAGCTTCTTTGATAGGGGTGCATAGTTTCCTGGGGCATGTACTTTAGTCATGCCCCTAAATTTATATACTGGGTGTCTTAAAAAAATTATAAATTAATATAACTCTAGAATGCAGTGCTTAATTTTTAAATTAAATAATCCCCAAAAAATTTAGAATTTGATAGCTTTTTTAGAAAAATGATTCAAGGCCATCAATTAATATATTTTTTCAAAAATGGGCCCCAGATGGGTTCTTATTAAATTGAAGATTTACTTTTTGTTTTTTAAAATTAGTGTATAATTAGTGATTATTTATATAAATTCATAATAGATAAAAAATCTAATATTTTTTTTATATCAAATTAATTACACAATTTATTTTAATTAAAATTTTCTGAATCTGAAGAGATTAATATGATTCTATATTTATTTTATTGATTTAGTGAAAATTAAAAATCAATTTCAGGGTTGACCTAAAGATTTTATCTTTACAAATATCTAGCATTATATATATTCTATAAAACACTTCATATATATATACACAAACCTTACTTTGAATATAAGGGGCAATATTAAATTTTTGAAACAATCTTCGTGTTGATGAAGATGATGGATTAATCAAGACAGTTTTATTTTCAATTGTTTTAAATTTTTGAGAAGTTGCATTCTGTTTTAAGGTGATATTTCTCTTAGGCTTAAATTTTTTATTCCTAAATTCAAGCTAAAATAGTATAAATAAATGTTATATATGTTATAAGTTACCTCCTTCTTAATTTCATCTAATTTGCACCATACATCTGATATTTCTATAATTATTATATAATAAAAAATATACTTTTAATACTAATTACCAATAATGGAATCGGAAATTTTAGGGGTATTATTCAAAATATCCGATATGCTTAATAATATTTTTTCCATGTATCGCTTATAATTTATTCGAATTTAGAGTGACAGATATTAAGAAAACACATATTGTAATCATTGATTGTAATGTATATAAAAAACTAGATTAAAAAAATATATATGAAAATTCCAAAATCAAATCACATAAATTTGAATTAAAAATCAAATGTATATAATAAAAAAATAATGAATATATGAACTATAAATAAAGCCTATATTAAAATACGACAAAAGGAATATGAATAAAAAATTTTTTTTAAATAGATTGTTTTTGCGTTAACAGATTTTATCGAATTTCTAATAAAATATAATTACAATTTAAACTATCTATAAAATTGAGAGGTGGTAGCTTTAGTTAAATATATAATATATTTATAATTAAGTAATTTTAATTCATATTTTGATAATCAGGGGCGGACTGGCCATAAGACCAGGTGGGCATTTTGCCCATGAGGCCGCGATAAATGTCGATTTTTGAGGCCGATCAGAGGAAAATATCTAAAAAGAGGCCGATTAGAAAAAAAATATATTATTATGTTCACATTATTTACTATTATCATTTATTTATTTTTAATGATATCTCTATGATTTGAATATCACATTCCTTGACAATTGTCATGTCGTTTACTATAATTTAATGCATAAAATACCAGTAACGTAGCTTGATGCTATACATCATTACCTCGTTTTTTTCTTTGCTTTTATTCAAATGAAGTAAAAACGCTTCCGTTTGAGTAGAGTGAAAGTTAAGTTTTGATTAATTCATTATATTACATTTTTATACATTGATTTATTGTAGAAATAATATAGCCAACATTTCTTGTTCTTAATTCATTGAAATCAAATAAAATCCAGCGGTGAATCAGATTAAAGGATGGATACCTGGGTGAAACAGAATAATTCATCTGGCCAAAATAAGTTGAGAAAGCTACAAAAAATTTCTCGATCTAGAAAAGGCCTTCGATAGAATCCCAGAAAACATATCTGGTGGGTGCTACGCCACAAAAGGTTCCCGAAAAATATATAAGAATAATACAGGATATGTATAGGGCCATACAACAATGGTCCGTAGCACAACAGTTCAGCAGGCTTCACAATAGCCGAAGGAATTCATCAAGGATCGGCTCTCAGCCCACTACTCTTCATTACAGTAATAGATGTATTAGCACAATCTTTACCTCAAACAGTCCCGTGGAATATGATATTTGCTGATGATATTGTGATACTTGCCGAATCCAATGATGAAATGAAAGAAAGATTAGTGAATTGGATAAATATCCTAAAAAAGCACGGACTAAAAGTAAATAGAGAAATGACGGAATATATGGTGATAGGAGGAGATGAAACAGAGAGTATTGATATAAATGAATGGCAGATATCGGCAATTGAAAGCTGCAAATATTTGGGCTCCACTATACAAACAAACGGCAAAAAGAGATAAAGAGTAAAATTAATCAAGGGTGGTTAAAAGTGCTATTTGACAAAAGAATCCCACACAAATTAAAGGGAAAAATTTACAGTTCCATAATACAACCAACTATTCTCTATAGTTCGGAAACATGGCCAACCAAGGAATCAGACGAGAGAAGTCTACAAACTATGGAGATGAGAATGCTGAGGATGATTGCTGGGGTAACAAGAAAGGATAAAGTGCGCAGTACAAGAATACTAAGTAGTTTAAAGGTAGAATAAGTTAATGGTAAACAGACTTAGGTGGTATGGGCACACAATGAGAAGGCCTATGAACTACATAGGAAATAAGGTTGAGAGCTTGGAAGTGATGAGCAAACGTAAAAGAGGAAGGCCAAAACTTCAATGGGGCCATAAAGTTAGAGCCAATTTAAAGAAGTATAAATTAGATAAAAGAGATTGCATGAATAACATAAAGTGGAGAGAGATGTTGAAGGAGCTTACCACCAGAAAAGGTGAAAGCTAAAGAGAAAAAAAAAAGAAAAAAGAAGGAAATTATGCCAGGCTCTAAAGGAAGGGGATTCCAGAAAAATAATTTAATGATATACCCCCTTTTAAAATGTTTAACTATTTAAAATTTAGATTGCAAATCTTATATTGCTGAGGATATTCAGCAGATAGGATAATTTTTAATTTCATATTAAAATGTGTGGAAAATCCTATGAGGTTGGGAAGTATGATTTCAGGATTTCTATCTTGATGAAATAAATAGTAAAGATATATATTGCGTGTTAAATTACGTAACGAATAATGTTCATTTGCCAGTGTATTCAAAGATATGGTAGCAGAATAAATGAAACGGAAGATGATCGTATGAACAAGTGAGGATTCAAATGAAGAAGAAGGAATATTACAATATCATAATAACTCAGAGTGTGATAATAAGTGTAACAAATGTTTATATGCGAGTATGAAATTTTTAAAAGATGCAATATGCTTACAAGTGACACTAATTTATTGGCATATGAATACATTTAACTTTGTCATTTACGCAAATTAGTTGCGAGAAAACATTTAGTAAATTAAAAATTACAAAAATAAGCTGAGATCTAATATTGACCAATAAAAATTAGAAGCGTTTTTAATGATGTCAGTTGAATGAGAACCATTGGCGCAGATTGAACTAGAAGATATTTCTGTATATTTGCGTAAAGGTTCAAAATTAATGAGAGATTTATTAACGTAAAAATTATATATTTCCTTAATTCTTTTATTTGAATTTTATTAATATCTATTTACAATATGATCGGTGCCTGATTTTATAAGTGCAGCAATTTTATACGCTGTAATATTGTATAACTGCAATAATTATATGTGTAAAATTAATAGATTTGATATATTAAGTATGTATTTTTTTATATTTAACATGTGATGTATGATTTGATTTTATAGTGCAATATCGTTATAAATCTAATATAAAAAAATATATATGTGCAATGAATATTATTTTATATTGGTAGTGAATATGATTTTAGATGTGCATTTTTTAAAAATAAATTATAAATACTATTCTTTTTTTTTATTAAAAATGTAAATCTTTTGAACTTATTTTCAAAAATAAGAAGTAATAAAAATCATGTAAATCGAAGGAGCCATATAAGGGAAGGGGGCGAAGCCCCCATATAAATGAGGTCGCTATAAAAAAATGCCCACGAGGCCGTAGCGTCCCCAGTCCGCCCCTGTTGATAATGATAAGTAAAAATAAGGGTACATGTTTATGATGTATTATATTATGAATTACTAAATTCTTTAATTATATATTTTTTATAATGATTATATAATGCAAAGTTGTTTATAACATCAAGAATTTATAATATGTTTGTTTATTGGTATAATTATTGGCTGCGAGTGCTAGTAACGCCTGTGATATTTAGTGAAAAAACTAAATATCACATCCGCATTTATTAAATATTTTTTTTAATTTCATGTGTCCGCGATACGTAAAATCACCCATTTAAAAATGGATTTTATTGAGATAACGAAGACAGAGACCAGGAAACTACAGACGTTTGTCAACAAATGTCTTAAAATAATAAATAGCATCTTTTACCCCAATATTATCTCAAATGATAACCTATGGAAAAGGTCACGCCACACTCAAACATAAAAAAGGAAGCGTCTCGCCTTTTTTGCTTATATTCTGAGAAATCATTCAAATAATAGCCTGGTCCTCGAGGCCATAAATTGGTTATATTCCTTCAACGGCAAAACTTATGGGAAGTTTAAAACTTTATGGTTCTATAGGGCAATAAAGGATATAATGGATTTAAACCTAAATACAAAACAGTTTCTAAGGTTGAATAAAGATAAGAGGTCAATAAAGAAACTGTTAAGGATCAAATCAAATTAATTAAATCTCCCATAAACTACAGGTTATTTTTACTTTTGTTTATTTTCCTTTCTTTTACTTTCACTGTCTTTTCTCTCTTTTCATTCTTTATCTGACTTATTTTTCCTTTCCATTCATTTTTTGCTCTTAATTTTCCCACATATATCTAATGTACCTTGTAATTAAAAAAGGTCCTTCTTTGCCTTTAAAGTAATTAAGTATATAAGTATTTTATGGGTGTGGGCTATGCTTATTTTTGACCATTCCCCATCAGCCCACATTCGTTTAAGTAATAGTCCTAGGACTATACAAGTACGTGCGGCTTGCCCACAAACGTGTGAAGAACTCCTCATCTTTATCCCCATTTTTAATTTGTCCAGTTTGATGGATTATGAGGAAAACCTAACATAGCTCTGTTGTATCCACAACTAGAGGGCGAAAACGTTTTTATTACGTAATTATACATTTTGTTTTGTTAAGGTTGGCAGGGAGTTAGACAAAGATTAAAAAAGTATTTTTAAAATTTTTATTTATTAAATTTATTTAAAAAATATTTAACTAAAAATACAATATATTTTTCCTCTTTATATAGTTTATAATATCAATTTATATAAAAGAATCTATTAAATAATTTATATCAAACTAGTGAGTACGTGAGGTTAATATTAAATAATAAAAAAAATCAATCTTTAAGGTCAATATTGCGTTAATAGATAGCGAAAAAAATATATTAAAAAAAATCAATCAGGACAATTCAACATTTCAACCTCCAAAGAAATTCGGCTTATGATTTCCTTGTATATGTTGAGCAGGGTTGCCATGTCTCCCCCCATCAGCGGGAGACTCCCGCAATTTTTTAATTTCTCATGCATTTTTTTTTAGTATTTTAACGTTTTTAATCTAAAAATAATAGTTTTAAGAGACATTAATTGATTATTTTTATATTTTTAAAATAAATTTTAAATATTTATTCGAAAACATGTCTAGTTTGTAAATTTCTTTCTATCCTGTTTTATATTTATCCAATAAACATCATTTCATTCATATAAGTCAGTAGAGGGGAGTATATCAACATCGATTGCAATACAAAAATATTCTCAAAAATAATAAATAATACAGATGCAACTATATTTGCGGAAATCGTATACATCTATCATGTATTTCAACATTCACAGAGCCATATCATCACAATGTGGGTCGAGTCTTTTTCTCATAATGTTTTACGACTCCAATATATGTGCAAACCTTACT